TATGATTGTTCCTGGGAAATTCCTTAGACTGTCGGCAAAGATGTCAGAAGAATTCAACATTCCCTTTGGAATAAGTAGCATCTTTGTCACCCACAATGCAGTGCCTGCTAAGAAAACAAAAAGAATGGCGGGTACAGGAGTGAATAGCAGAGATGAGTGTGTCCAAGTGGCCAGCAGAAGATGATCCGGCCAGAGCCGCGACTCTGCTGATTGCCGCTGCTCCTCACGTTGGATGAAATATTCATGCCTCTGCCCTGCTCTCGGCGAGCACTATTGATTTCTTGTCTAAACGCTGCTATATTTAGTCTAGACAAATGGAATGTGGATCACTCTGAATAAATTGGATGAAAGACCGGGGATCTTGCCTGCCGCTTTTCCTCAGTCCTGGGCAATTATTTATAATCAAGGGCAGTTTTTGTAAGTTGAGGGTGATTTTTCACAATTTAGTGATTAGTCTGTGAACAAACGCAGGCGGTTAGATACAATCATTTCTTTAGGGATAAAGGTTAAGAAGTCAGATTGTTCTTTGAGGTCTGCAGTGACTGTTTCAGAGCACTGGGGGATTTTATTCCTTATCTTGTTTTATTGTTTGTTTGTTTGAAGAATTTTAATGGATTGATGTTTATAGTTTATTAAACAATAAAGAAGACCCAAGGGTCTTTTGAATTATTTTATGTTTTGTGCTTTAAGATTCTGACCTCTGCTTATTTAGATGGCCATGAAAAGCACTGAAGACTACAGTCTGGCCTGTTAAAAATGAAAATGAAGTGTATGGTTAGCGACATTGCTTTAGGCTGGACTCATGAAAAGTCTGAGTTAATGCCCAAACTCTCACATCACTTCACGGTCTTTACTCGAAGGTGTGCATGGATCGTTACAGCGAAGGGACCAGAAGGTGTGCCTGGCCCGTGACAGCTAAGGGACCAGGTTTGTGTGGCCCGTTACAGCTAGGGGACCAGAAGGTGTGCCTGGCCCGTGACAGCTAAGGGACCAGAAGGTGGGCCTGGCCCGTGACAGCGAAGGGTCTACCTACTCAGCCGTCTTGTTTTCAGACTTGTCACACTACATTTGCTTGAACAAGAGTAATGTCCTAAGAAGTCACTGCTTGCCAAACCATCGTTTATTAAGAAATCATTTCCCATCATCATTAAACTGCTACATGCAGTATCCATAGTTCAAACTTCTGATTGACACATTGAAAAATAGCCGATATCAGCAAAGATAGATTAATACCTGTCTGCACGTGCTCACACGTGTTGCCAATGTGTGCCATACAGATGATTGCTGCTGCACGAGTGCACACATGCACGTGTGCCATACAGTGTGATTGCTGCTGCATGAATGTATGCGTGCCTGCATGCATGCCATGCAGTGTGATTGCTGCTGTGTGAATGCATACATGCACGTGTGCCATACAGTGTGAGTGCTGCTGCATGAATGCATACATGCATGTGTGCCATACAGTGTGATTGCTGCTGCACGAATGCATGCGTGCCTGCACGTGTGCCATACAGTGTGGTTGCTGCTGTGTGAATGCATGCATGCATGTGTTCCATACAGCTAGATTGCTACTCATAAGTGTTTACACGTGAGGCCTTAGTACTCTAAACAGGATACCTGGGAGTTTTCCTTTAAGCCCTGAAAATAAACAATAAATCTACATAGAATAGAAACTTAATAATTCCCAATCTGGGATCTTCAAACCTATGTAGATGTGGAACATGCGGAAGTGATGAATATTTCTAGTAATTTTAAGAAATATGGATTTTGATGAAGGAATTTTCACCTAGGGAAATTCTCAGAAATCCACAAGGATGACCCCAGCTAAGACTCCTAGCAATAGTAGACAGGGTGCCTGAACTGGCCTTTCCCTATAAACAGATTAGTGACAACCCTAATTGTCATCATAGAGCCTACATTCAGTAACTGATGGAAGCAGATGCAGTGATCCACAGCCAAGCACTGGGCTCAGCTCCTGGAGTTCAGTTGAAGAGAGGGAGGAGGGATCATTTGAGTAAGGTGGGGCTCAAGATTGTGATTGGGAAAACCACAAAGACAGCTGACCCGAGCTAGTGGGAGCGCACAGACTCTGAACTGACTGCTTTGGCTCCTCTCAATGTGGGTCACAGTTATGTGACTTGATATGTTGGGGAGGCCCCTAGCAGTGGAACCAGGACTTACTTCTGGGTGCATGAACTGGCTTCTCAGAGCTTGTTCCCTATGGAGGGATACCTTGCTCAGCCTTACTACGGGGGAGGGGCTCGGTCTGACCTCAACTTATCTCAGACCTTGCTGACTCCCCAAGGAAGGCCGTACACCCTTTGAGGAGTGGATATGGGGTGGGATGGAGAGAGCTGGGGGTCAGGAGAAGAGGAAGGAGGGGGAACTGGAGCTAGTATGTAAATTTTTAAATTTAAATAAATAAAAAAGAAGAAATATGGGAAGCTAAAGAAAGCAGAGTCAGCCAGATTCTCACCCAAAGCACTGTCCTCATCTGTCCTCTGTGTCACTCCGTGCAAAGAATTTATGGACTAGTGTGACTGAACATTGTCTCTCTCTCTCTCTCTCTGGGTGTTTGTGTGTGTGTCTATGTGTGTCTACACATGTATAGTTATGACTGGATTTGTTTGTTTTTTTTTCCCCCTCAAGTCCTAAGGCTCAACATTTATAATGATGTCTGATATTTAAGGGGCTCCATAACAGTGTGTGCAGTTTGCTGATCACAGTATTATTGCCATTTTATTATTGATCTTTAAGGATTCTAATATTTTCATTTTTAGGGATTCATATGTTTTTGAGCATGCGTGTGTAAATGGGTGTGCATGCTCCTACGTCTGAAGACAATAAGCACATGTGTGCACATGTTTGTGGAGGGAAGCCCGAGGGTAACCCTGTGTGTCATTCCTCAGTATGACAGTGTCTGTTGCTGGCCTGAAGTTCCCCAAGAACTCTAGGCTGGCTGCCTGGTGCTAGGACTGCAGCCTGCAGCTGCTTCTTTACATGTAGATGCTGAGGGTTAAATTAGTGTCCTCATGCTTGTACTGCGAGAATTGATCAACTGACCTTTGTCCCCAGCCAATGACTACATTTGTTTTTTGCCAAATGGATATGACATAGTTTATATAGGTGTTCCTTCTAGTTGGTGACTATGACATTAATAAAAAACAAAATCTCCAAATAATAATATAGCATTAAATGTTTTTCTCCATTAGGATTGTCTCTTTATGATTTATTTCTAGAAGTGGCAAACCTGAATAAAATTATAGAAATATTTAATATCACATGGTTCAAATTTTGGATTGATTTTTGTCAATTTTATACCAATTGGAAGTACCACTTTTAATAAATAATTCAATCATGTTCTTACCTTTTAAAATGGGGCATGATGCAGGCAGACATAAATGTATGTTCATATATACATGGGCACATATGTAATTCTTTGTAGCTACGTAGTGATGTTTCATTTTATTAGTGGTTTATATTATTTGCCAGTAAAGGGGATTTTTAGTTGCTGAATTGTTTTTATTTTCTAATATTTATAGAAATCATCATTTTATTTCAAGAGTTGCTTATACACCTTTGATTGGTTAGCTAATCATTATTGGTGAACTATTTTAATGTACAGAAAATTTCCATTTATATGCAATAGAGAAGACAAGATCAACAGTGTTTCCTGAAGTTGTCCTGCACACACTGTGAGTGATGGCGCTCATGTGAGCCTTTGACTACATTGCTCTGACCACCTCTGCTTTAGTGGTGGTGGGGCTGGGGCTCGGTGCAGATAACAGTGTTCTCGGGCTTGTGTAAGTAGGGGAACTGGAGCAAGAGGGTGAAACTGATGGCTTTCATATTGCGGTTGACTTACTGAACCTTTTCCCTAGGCTTCTCAGAAAGTTAAAGTATTTTGAATATTTTTGCAATTAAAATTTCTAGTTATTTCTGTCTGAGCTGGTGTTAGAGCTGAGTAGTGGTTCACTAATTTTGAGGAGATATAACCTCGGCTTCCAAAAAGCTCATTATCTTTAACTTGACCTCTTTCACTTTTTTACAAAATTTTACCTAATTCCTCAGGGTGGATGTATTCCTCAGAATGTTCAGCCATCAATTCGGCATGGGATCTGACCAATTAGAGTAGGCGTTAGCCATAAGCAACCTACATCTGGAGAGCTTCTTGGGCTGTGGTTTTCCTACCTAAAACTTTCTTTTGGTGGGGCAGCCTGATTATCTACTTAAATTGTGCTAGAAATGTCACATATATTATCCAATTCAATTTCATGAATTTAAATATTATCTTCAAAAGTTACATTTGGGTCATCAGATCTTTTTTCCTTTGGTGGTTTGATTAAATATTTACTTGAAGTTCCCGCATACTTCTTCCTCTCTTGTTTATTTTAAGAATGAGGTTTCCACGATTTAAATGATCACTATTTAAGAGCCAGTACTTAGACACTTGGCTGCTCTCACTTCTTCATGTGCGGACTTGGCTTGTTGTTATGGTTAATCACCATTAGCTGAATCTGGATGGAGATTTTTCCCACTTCTGATAGGGTCGCCGATGTATTGCATCTCATGCTTAACTTAGGGTAGAACTCTTCTGTCCCTAATTATAAGGCTTTTTATGAGTCCATGAATTGATTCGTGACAGAAGTTCCCTTTTTGTATGACATCTTTCTTTCATCTTGCATTACTTGGTCTTCAGTGGCTTAAATTTGTTAAGTGGTTCAGTCTTTATATTTAATATATAAATGATTTTGATACCTCTAGGTGAATCCATCTATTTGAAAACAGACATCTGTAGAAAGATTCAGAGCAGAATACTTGTTATTGAGTGAATTGAACTCAGGGACCTTTTACCAAAATTTATGTACAAAAACACATCTTGCCTTCAGTGTAAAGGAGTGATTGTGCCCCTTCCTTTATGTGTGTGCTTTGTTTACAAATCAGAGTGCTAATTTCCAATCTTTGTCTCCCCTTCTTTGTCTTCCTTCCCGGGTCTCCAGTGGATGTGAAATCAGAGGTTCCTATGGGCCTGGAGCCCATCTCACCTTTAGACCTAAGGACAGACCTCAGGATGATGATGCCCGTGGTGGATCCTGTCGTCCGTGAGAAGCAGCTGCAGCAGGAGCTGCTTCTCATCCAACAGCAGCAACAAATCCAGAAGCAGCTCCTCATTGCGGAGTTTCAGAAGCAGCATGAGAACTTGACGCGGCAGCATCAGGCGCAGCTGCAGGAGCACATCAAGGTAGCAAATGTGTCTTTGTCTGTCCTTCTCAGTCAGGGCACCTGCACCCCGCTGTGGGCCCAAGACCAGCTCACGGGAGCACTGATGGGCAAGTTCACTGTGGATAAGACATGGATGTGTGGCTTGATGGCAATTGTAGTTGTACTAGTTAGAAACGTGGTTAAGTACCCGGTAAGAGTGGCAGGAACTTCCCATGCGCGTCCGTACCCTCTCCCATGTGTTCCTTTTCCCGGTGTAGCCACCACCAAGAACCACAAGCTGAGAGAGGTCCAGGTTATGCTACTAAAGAACCTGTGTGCCCTGCTCATCAGGAAGGGTAAAGTCATCCCGTGAACAGGAGCAGTCTGAGTCTCTAGATTGTTTTCTTCTCAGTCTAGGTCAATACAAGTTTTTCCTTGTAGAAAAGCTTATATGGCATATAATCAAAATCAAAATAAAATAATACAATGAAAAGCCAAAGGGGGTTATATTTTTATATGCAAAAGTGGAATGAATATTTTAATGCTTTTATAGACTGTTAAGTCAGGGGAAATATAAGAAGAGCTCAGATTTTTTACTGACATCTGGTGATTCTGTGTTCACTGGAATATGTCACTGTAGATTTGTCTGTCTTTTGGTTGTTTGTTTGTTTTAATAATTGGCAAAGACATTTACCAACAGGGGTCTTGTAGGGCAAGGCAGCACATAGCTCTAAACTCAAAACTTAGAAGTTTTACGTCTGGGCTGACAAATGAGGCAACGTTTTTAAATTGTAAGAAAGCACAAGGATGTTTTGAGTCAGTCAAATAGATATTTGATTTGAATTTATTATTAAAAGCACAAAATATTTATAATAAAGTTTTACGTTATAATCAACTCTTTCAAAGATGACTTAAGGGTAATAATCATAATGCATAGAATTATGCATTTTGTCATATTTTGCTATACTGTACTCTAGGCACATAATCTCATGTGTATCAAGTAGAAACACATGAAAGTTGTATCAATATAGATCATGAAGTTATAACACTAAATTACAATATCTAAGAAGATAGAAGCACTATGTTCTTCCCATTTTTCTTGTTCTGCAAGATACATTATCTGCGTAAAAGGCTCTTCAATGCCTAATATAAAATATAATCTCTTGAATGTTGTATACATAAGAAATAAATACATCTAAATAAAAATATTAAAAAAATATAATCTCTTTCCTTAACTAACAAAGTTTATTAAGCACTTTCATATGATTGCTCCCTAAAATACCTTAAAAATAAGAATGAAGGATTTTGTGTGTGTCCCCAATGAAATCATTATCTCATGGCTATATTTAAAATATGAGTGACCTTCACTTAGTTTGTACGTTTATTTTTTAATAAAGGCCACAGTGTTCCTTCAGTTTGACCCTTGGAATGGTAATAGAAGCATTGCTATCTAGATTGCTCTCCTCCCAGGCACGGTAACTGGGCCAGGAGGCACGGGTGTGATACATGCTCGTCAACTTGCTTCAAGAGCCGAGTAACTGCATGGTTCATTTTTTTTTTTTTTGTATATGAGTTCTTCTCCTGGAGTATCAAGCCATGCTGATAAGCTGCTTGCATCGGTTTCCTTCAGATTTGTTTCTTTTTCATTGATGTTTGGTGCCATTGTTATTGCTGAAGCCAAGTGTGAGTAATTGACCATTTGATCACTAAGCACCTAAGAGCAGCAAGTAGGTGATTGCATCTGTGGCACAAACAAAATGATATGGCAGGATGATTGACATCCAGAAGAGGCTGGAAAAGTGGCTCTTGAGAGAGTTAGGATCTTGAGGTGGTTAGAAGGGAACTATAGCTTTAAGAAGATGTTTTTTCTACATACAGCGTTTTTGTGTGAGAGGCAGAAGACCCGTTGGCATCCTCCTTTTCAGATTAGGAAGTTAAATGCGTCCTTAGAATTTCTATTTTGTCCCGTTACTGTCTTAAGGGTAGGTCTAAAGGTTAATGTTTTTAGCATTCATTTAGATTTATTTGCATGAGAAAGAGTACCCCGAGCTTTAAGGGCATTAGCTTTTGAACTCTGACTCTTCTCACAGCTGACACCTGTTGCCTTCTGTTCTAGTCTCCCAGTTTTTGCCTAATCAGCTGAGGTAGAGAGAAACGGTGTGACTTCGCAAAGCCATGTGGAGTGTGACTAGAATGTGTTGTCTTCTTTAGTTTGCCCCCAAAGCTCCCAAATCCCTGTGACTCACAGCTGGAAAGAAACGTGTTAAATTTTAATTCTTTTTAATTTTTTAGACATACCCCATTCCTATAATAGATGTTGGATGTAAGTAATGATTATGGTAACAAATGTGTGTGGTTTTTCATATCAAGAAGGAATTATAGTTCGATTTCATTGAGGTTTTAGATAAAGTATTGAGTTCATTTGACCAGTCTCGATATCGATATAGAGTTGGCATTCAAACAGAATTTAAACATAACTATAGATTCCTAAGTAACAGTGGTATATTTGAGAGCACCCATTAAGTAGTTGGCATGTGAAAAAACAAAGCACCAAGGTATTAAGCTGTAACATGGGAACAGACAGAGTCACTCCTAACCATGTGCTTGGGTTAGGCTGTCACACTTTGCCTAAAAACTCGCCTTCTTGTTGCCACAAAGAAACAAGATGAAGGTCCTGAGAGCTTTTAATTTTTATTCCAGTATTTGTTATAAAATACAACTTTTAGATAACAAATATTCAAAAGGATAATAATATAATAATTATTCTTTAGTTGCTATTAAGCTTTAATAGTAATAAATGAAACTGTATCATTCAAAACAAAAAACCCAATTTCCTATGAATTATGTATATGATCTGTGAGAGGCGTTATTGTCCTTCTTACTCATGATGAACTGAGGTTCAGAGTACCTTTAGTACCCAGTCAGATCTCGTACATGGCAATGACAGAGGCTAAGAGAGTCGTTTGTTCTCCAGCGGGACTATTTGCTTTTCTGCAGATACATGTATTTCTCCGTCTTCAAATGCCGTAACAAATAGCCTCATATCTGTGTTATGTGTGGTTTGAAGTGAATGCATCAGAAAACCAGACTCCAGTACATGGGAGTTTGTGGACGTGATTTCATTTGGATCTGTGACTCTAGAAGTTTTCGTGTGCTGGAGGTCAGTTCTGAACTTTCTGTGATCTTCTAGAGAAGGATATGGATGTGTAGATTATGCATCCTTACAAGAACTGTCTCTGTGGAAGGGTACAGTCTTAGTGTCTGCTCTGTTTCCGGTAGGCTTCCCCAAATTAACTCTCACCCCCATCCTATCCATGGTAATTTTATACTGTATCTCGGGGTAAGAGCTGGTTGTCTATCTATGGTGTGAGAGACTTTGTGAAATAGACATCAAGGCCTTCTCTGCATTTGTGTGTGCCTATAATTTTGTAGGCACATGGGGAAAGGAGCTGAAGGTTCAAGCCAACAACATTCAAATGACCTGAGTGGATTTGGTAATAATTTTTGAAAAGGATCTACACGTACTGGAATTATCTAAAGACTTACTTCTTGTAGGTATCAAAGCCATTCTGTTTTCTATATTTCTATTTCAGTCATAATAAGGTGGTTGAAGCACGAGCGACATGCTGTCAAGCTCCAAACGTTGATAATGTTGCAGTGTGGGGCAGTGAATGATGATGTTGAAGCTTAAAGAAATTGCACACTCTCATGTTTTTCTCTTCTCGCAAGTTGCAACAGGAACTTCTAGCCATAAAACAACAGCAAGAACTCCTAGAAAAGGAGCAGAAACTGGAGCAGCAGAGGCAAGAACAGGAAGTAGAGAGGCATCGCAGAGAGCAGCAGCTTCCTCCTCTCAGAGGCAAAGATAGAGGACGAGAAAGTAAGAGGCACCAGGGTAACAGACGCGCTCTCTTCCCGAATGGCAAGAAAACGATGAACCCTAGAAATAAGCCTGTCGAAACTGCCCTTGTCTAGTTAAAAGAGTAACGTAGAGTCTAAAGAGCTCTTTCCTAACAGCCCTACAGAGCATAATGAGAAATGAACACGACATTGCCGAAGACACAGGCATGTTTCCTGGACTTTGTAAATACCATCACACTAAAGGGATGGAATGTAAGATTCAGTAATAAAGTTACGTTTACATGTTTTCATTTCTTCCATCTTCCTGGCCAGGCAGTCATTGCTCTGAACACGGTACATACCACGCCTCCGGTCCCTTTTGTTGTTTTTAGACACAAGACAGAATGTTTGCAAAATACTGGTCCACAAGAGGGAGACAGAGCCAAATAATTGCCCTCTACCCAGTCAGTTCAAACTCAGGTCGTTGCAAACTTTAGTGTGTGGTGATTTGAACTGAAATTATCAACTAAATTGATTTGTTTAATAATCAAATGAATTTTAAAACAATGTTGAATTTTTTAACAAGAAAATCAGAAAAAGATCATTTTAATGTATTATAGTAATCTACAACACTCTCCAAGATTCCTGATTTGAAAAGAAATAAAATAAAAACTAGTGATTTATTCCTATTTATTTGCTTATTTTTGTCAGTACTGGGGATTGAACATAGAACTTCACAAATACTAGGCAAGCATTGTACCATTTAACTGCAGCCCCAACCCTCAGCAATTTTCTTTTGTAAATTCAAAGACAACTTGATGGCAGTCCTAGGAATTCTGTTCCTATAGAAATGATCCAAGAACTCATTGAAGGCATTTTGAAAATTTGTAATGAAAGCAACAGTTACAACACGGGGCTCTGCCATTTCCTAAAGTCTATGTAGATTTGGTTTTGCTTTTCTTTTAATAGGAAAACTCCTCCATATGCTGTGGCCAGTGGTATTTCTTCATAACCATTGTTGAGTATTCTCGAGTAGTGAGATTAAGTGACCCACAGGCGGTGTCTCTCCCTGTGTGTGTGTTTCAGGGGCAGTGGCAAGCACAGAGGTAAAGCAGAAGCTTCAAGAATTCCTGTTGAGTAAATCAGCAACGAAAGACACTCCAACCAATGGAAAGAATCATTCCGCGAGCCGCCATCCCAAGCTCTGGTACACGTATGTTCTGTGTTCGGCTGTTTTCATCCTCAGTGTAGAGAGCATGGGTTCTATCTTTGGCTGACCTGGGCAGAAATCCTGAGCTTACCACTTCTGGGGCTTTCATGGCTGCTAACAAGTGCCTGGAAATCTCTAAGGATCAGCCTTTCTCTCCACAAGAAAGAGACCACAACAACACCTGCCACCAGAGTTGCTGGGAAGTCCCGAGAAAAAAATGTAACGAAAGATATAGGTGCTAGCAGGGCTCAGTTAGCGTTAGCATCTATCACCCGGAAGGCAGGGAGGGCATTGTCTTCCTTACTGAATGAGTAACTGGCATGGGGGTAGAACCCAGGGACGGTTTTGAATCCTCAGGTAGTTTCTCTGACATCTGTGCAGAATTTGTGAATGCTTAAGGATTTGGCCTCTTTTTGTTTCACGTGGCTTAATATAAAATGGAAATCAGAGCTATTTTGAGAAAATCAGATGATTTTTGGTCCCACGTGTGTATCGGTTGACCTGAGAAACCAGCCAGTATCAGAAAATAATCTGAAAGAAATATAATTTTGTTACCTTAAGTCATCTGCATAGGAAGTGACTGATTCATGATGCTCTCAAAGTTAGCACATTTCAGGAAAAAAAAAACATAATTTTCTAATGAGAAACAACTACTAGGGAATAATTTATCTGCTGAAAATGCTTCAGCTGTTCCCTTGAGTGTATCTGACATGGCCCTCATGTCAGCAGTGATCTTTTCTTGTTTATATGTAATATAATTCCAGCTAACCATAAATCATTAATTTGAGGAATTAGCTATGTGGCTCTGGGAATTTTCCTTGAATTCTCAAAGAATCAGTTTCCGTCTCTGTAAAGAGGACATAATAACATGTGTTGATGCTTTTGGCCAGTTTCAAGTATGTGAAATGACCATACATGTGTTAAGTGTTGAGAATGTAGTTCTCAGATAAAGACTTACGGTGGAGTAGTCACTGTGGAAGTGGCCTGTGCCCTGGGCATTCTCTCTGTTGTGTGAGAATTGGGATTCCTGTACACACTGGGTAGTTTGAGTTCAGTCCTCCAAATTCTTCTTCAGTAGCACAATTGCTTCCTTTTCAATATACTCATTCCAGAAAAAAATAGCATATTTTTAAGTTAGTTTTCTATTGAAGAGGAATGTGCTTTCATTTTTTTCAATAATTTATGTATTTTTACTTTATGTGTATTGGTGTTTTGCCTGCATGTTTGTCTGATCTTGGAGTTACAGACAGTTGTGAGCTGCAATGTGGTTGCTGGGAATTGAACCCAGGTCTTCTGGAAGAACAATCAGTGCTCTTAACCTCTGAGCCCTCTCTCCAGAATGTGCTTTCTAATCCACACGTTAAGATGGCCTGTAGGACTCAGGCCCCTGAGGCTCCAGGCTGTCATCTCTTCAGTACAAAGGTCGTCCTTGGGCACATGGCTATGCCATCTGGGAGTGATGAGGTCTTTGGACATGTTCACTTCCACCATGGTTGTTCTATAAAGGTGACTCCAAAGGATCAGGATAGCAGCTGTTTTTGTTTGTTAGGTTGATTTTGTAGTTTTTTAAAAGTATAACAATCTAAGTTCTTCTATCAAAGTGAAATTTCCCATGTGACTGAACGACCAAACACAGGGTGGGCACTAAGAATCCCTCACTGTTCTGTTTCCCTGTAGTGAACTTGGATACTGAGGCTGAGGTTTGTAGACCCTGGGGAGGGAGAGCGTAAATACAGCTGAGTCACGTGGACATTGTGTGCAGCTGAGTCATGTGGACAGTGTGTGCAGCTGAGTCACATGGATTGCACACCCTGGAATCCAGCTTCGCTATAAACCCTTTTTGTTTGTTTTAGGGCCGCTCACCACACCTCACTGGATCAAAGCTCTCCACCTCTCAGTGGGACGTCTCCATCCTACAAATACGCATTACCAGGAGCCCAGGATGCCAAGGACGATTTCCCCCTGAGAAAAACAGGTAAGTTGGCACAGCGAGGACAATGCTTACTTTTTCACGGCACACCTTCCTTTTGTTCTTCTCACTTCTTGATAGAAATTAAAGAATATGACGTGGACAGCGTCCACGTACACCCTTCACTCACAGCTTCTTGAACCAAATGTATCCACACGCACATGCACACGTGAGCTCCTGTACATATTCAGAGAAACACAGATGCGACTCCCTTTTCCTTATTGCTGCATGAGTCCAGTCACTAGATAATTAAAGTATCTTTGTAAGATTGAAAAGTATATCTGATTTCAATTAGCAATCAATGTTAGAATAAAGGAAAATAGGGATGTCGACCCCAGAAAAGTGTGATGTTTGTTCGTTTTAAGGATCCTATATTGTCCTTCTTTTCTTTAACCATTTGCCTAAGCATGTCTAGTCAGAATATTCTGTCCAACACATTTTTTGAATTTTAATATTTCAAATAATGATGTAGTGAGCATCAGTTCAGTCAATGTTTTCTTCTGAGAAAGTTTGCTCCCTAGGGTTCTCCAGACTCCTGAACTAAGTAAAAATGTGCCCTTATTAATTTCATGTATAAGGACACACGACACACAACCACACACATGGGAGCACGCAGTAAGACTTGTTTGGATGAGTGTCACCGTGGAGTTTTGTTTAGGATTTAATGGACAGTATCATCTCTAAATTATGTATATTTCTTTCCCATCTTCTCTTCCTCTTGAATATCACTGACAAGTGATAGTTAATGTGCATATATGCTCTTCCCACTATAGTCAATATAGTTAAATAACAGATAAGGTGTGTGTACAGTATGTTCTAAAGCTTTCAGTGTTTCAGAGACTGCAGCTTTTCAAAAGATTTAAAATATCCCACAGCTTCTAAACTGGCATTGATAGATAGTTGAAGCTATTGTATTTTATGCAGGTCTTATTGAGGGACTGTATCTCTGTAATTTGTGCATAAAATCCACAGAGTGGTGATTTCAAATAATTATATTCATTTTTTCTAAGCAATTTGGAGTAATTAAAATGGATGTAGATTGTACAAACACATGCTGGAGCTAATTTCTGTCAGATAATTTACCTGTGGCATAATGAAGATTTAAGAAGAAAATCAATTGTGAATAAGAATCTATTTCCCCTCATCCACTTTATATAGTCCCAGACGCAGGGAAAGAGTGCTTAAGCTTCCCAAGGCAATCAGTGCGTTTTTATCTTCATAGGCCCGGGATTTTCATGTCTCTAGGATGTTAGACATAGTAGAACACTTCAGTAGGGTCCAGTGTAAAGGGAGGACTGGCTGAACTCCATGTATTTGTCTGAATTTTACGTTGCTACCCACATAGTGCATTACCTTTCTTGTGAGTAAAGGTCTCTAGGACAAAAGGAGGGAAGAGAAGAGTGAGGCTTTCTGTACTTCTCAACCTGGGGATTTAGTTTGTGGAAATTGATTCATAGAGGGTGTGGCACTAACAGAATTAATATTTGGTGATATGTGTGGGAGCTATTGACAAAAATTCTATCAACATTCCCATAATCAGGGATGACACTGTCATGAAATAGCCCCAAAAAATGACGAGAAGGAAAGAACACGAAGTCTGCTTGTGGCGGAAGGCTCCTAACAAGTGATGTATGTATTCAAAGACCTGTCCTCTGAGCACGTGGCCTGCTCTGTCCTCTTACTGCAGAGACGGCACATGGACTTAGCTGAAGTGTCCTCCAGAGAAGGGGCATCTGGCCCCACAAGCATCCACAAAGAAAATCTGTTTTTGAAACTAATGAGTATTAAAAGTTAGTAATCTGGATCCTTCTGTTTCCACGAGAACAGTTTGGTTTCCCTGTGAGAAGAACGAAGGATGGGTTCTTCATTTATGCTCAATGAAATTCCCGATCCACAACACAAATGTGCTCAGTGTGGATGTTATGTCCCCAGATCTGAATCTGGGCACATATGTGAGAAACTCTTTGTGACGTATCATACATGAGAATAGCCAGGGCCTGTCTTATGGTATATTTTCTGTAGCTGCCCAATATTTTAAATGTGTCCTTTTTCTGCTGAAAATCTGATATTTATGAAGTATCAGGCTGCTGATCTGCAAAAGCCACATGTTTTCAAACATCCTAGCATTAAAGTTCTTGAATAGCTGTTAATACTTTGATATCGCTATAGGGCTTCAGAATATCCCTTTTCAGTTCCTGCTGTCTGATGAAGAAAAGTGTGATGTAATAAACCACAGATGTTTTCTGCATACAAAACCACTCAGAGATGCTCTTCACTAATTACAAATAGGCAGGGCTCTTCAGTATCCAGACATCGATCCTCTTGGTACCTGTCAACTGTGTTGTGAGAAAACTGAGACCTATCTTGGTCTTTCATAGGTCACTGAAAAATTTCAATAATATTTCAATTATTGACTAGTACTTCAGCATTTGTTATATTCTCCTGACTCAAATGGTATTCTGAAAATTATAAAATTATGTCATGGCAAAATGTAAGTGGTGAACGGGGAAAGTGCTGAAGGTGACTTTTGTGTCATACAGTGACATCACATTGAACTGAACCTCGAGTGCTGCCGTAGGTCATCCGGAAGTACCAGGACAGCCAACATAGAGTCGAGCTTCATTACGACAGCCAGATTTTCAGCTTTTGCTGTCTACTTAGATATTACCCCAGACTTAGCGGAACTTGATAAATGAACCAGTTCTGTCTTTTGAACTGCCTGTAATACTACATCATTTTTATTTCCTTCACCCCGATCGTTTATCGAATTGCTTGTATGTATTAGTGAGGTTTAGAGAATAAAACTGGAATTAGAGTAAGGAAAGCCTGCACAGCTTTAAATAGATTAAGGTAGTCCTAGAGCTGTCCCTGCAGAAGTAAGGACAATTTTGAAGCTCTCCGAGCTTTCTGGACACCCCTTTCTTCAGCCACTAACAACCCAGGAATAGCCAGCTACAGAATTCTTAGTTTCTCACAGGAGTCTGAACTTTCTCATGCAAGGTGGACCCTTGCTTCCCTCCTCTTGGGAGGGCTGGAGTTGCCCCCAATCTGTTTTAGCTAATAAAACTCATTTACTTTCATTTTTAAAAATTATTTATTTATTTTTATTTTATGTGCATTCTGTTTTGAGTGCATGTATGTTTGTGTGAGGATGTCAAATCCCTGGAACTAGAGTTACAGACATTTGCAAGCTGCCATGTAGGTGCTGGGAATTGAACCAGGGTTCTCTGAAGGATCACCCAGTTTTTTTAACCAATGAGCCATCTCTGTAGAGTTAGGTTTATTTCTTTTAATTCTTAAATGAATGCCTGTATGTGACTGGTTTTGAAGTTGGAAATACCATATTTTTGCCCATACTGCTATGGAACCAGATTCCCCTCCTGCTACTGCACACCACAGGACTGATAAGAAAGTGGGGAGCTTCTGGGGCTTGACACTTTCAAAAGATTGCCTATTTCCCACAGAGATACTACATGCCTGCTGACTTTGAACTGACCTTCAAAACCATTTAATTTGGTTTATATTCCAGTGAGTATGTGCATATGTTTCATAAAATATTATGACAAAAATTTCTGGAAGTTTTATACTCTATTATATTATCGAGGTCTTAGGCAGTGAACTTTGCCTTTCTTTGAATATTATAATCTTTCCATTTTATACTTCTGAACAAAGCAAACAGGCAAGGTATATTAACCTCTTAAACTGCACGAGTCATATAAAGCCTGGCTTTGGCTAAGAAGACTGTTCCAGTCCTACTGAAACACTCATTTTAATGGTCAGAAACACTGGAATATGACTCAAAGGTGGAAGGGATCCAAACATAAGTTAAGGTTGCAGAATGCCAATGGCATTTTCCACTTAGAGTAAATTGGAAAGGGGACAGTTGAGACAGTGTCCAGCTTGGTAAATCTGATGCAGCAGACAGTGGTCAGGATGAGGAACCTGGGTGACCTATTCAAGGCATTGTAATCCAAAATTAACAGAAGGATGTTTCCTTAAAAGGTCTTAAAAAATCTCTCCCTCCCCCCTCTCCTTGTCTCTACCTCCTTCTCTTCCCCCCTTTTATAGTTTTGCATATGCCTTGGCATTTCAGAATTTGGCATGAAGTCTAAAAGAAGCACCATGGTTATTTAAAGCCTTTACCATATAGGGAGATCTGTACTGTGTGTTTTCAACATAGCTTTTTTTTTAAATCAATAAACTTAGTTTTTAGAATAGTTTTTGACTTACATATTGAACAAATAACATGTTGCACCTATGTTGATCCCATTATCAGGTTCTTTTAGTATCAACCAATCTGTGCATGTGTGTAAAATTGGTGTGCATGTGATATGTGTGTGCATATTTTTGGACACAAATGTGCAGGTGTGTATTCACGTGTGTAGAGGTCAGAGGTCGACACTGGGTGTATTCCTCCATTACTCTTCACCTTATTTACCAGGACAAAGCCTGTTGATGAACCCGGAACTCTTCAAATCCACTTGTCTAGCTAGGCAGCTAACTCTAGGCGTTTCCCGTCACTGCCTACCACTTGGAAGTTCAGTGTAACCTAATTGTATGTCATCTGTCTGTTATTATAGCTTTACACAGAATTACATCGCTTTTAAAACACTGTTTCTCACCTATTCTTACCAACCGTAAAGTGGGTATGTAGTAATTATTTTAATATTTTTCTTGGGCTGGAGAGATGGCTCACCTGGTATTCTTGCACAGAACCTGGGGTCAGTTCCGACCAACACATGGTGGTTCATCATCATCTGTGAGTCCAGTTCCGTGAGGATCCTGTCCTATCCTCCGGCATCCGTAGGAACCAGGCATGCACATGGCACATATACATGCTTGCCAAAAAAAACCCTCATTCACAATTTTTATTTTCCAAGACAGGGTTTCTCTGTAGCTTTGGAACCTGTCCTGTCTTGTAGATCAGGCTGGCCTCAAACTCACAGAGATCTGCCTGCCTCTGCCTCCTGAGTGCTGGGATTAAAGATGTGCCCTACTACCACCCG